TAGTTAGAAAACAAATGACAATTAAGTTTAACATATTTAGATTTTTACAGCTATGGTGAGAAACGTTTAAAATCTACAACAGCCCTGTCGCGTCCTTTGAGATATACTAGTGATGCGACAAAAGAGGTATTTGACATTGACCGGTATCAGCACCTTGGGGATTTGGCAGTCCGCATTTATGCACGCTTTGCAACCGTCTTTGATTCCATCCATTAGCCACTCGTAGGGAGCTATTTGACTAAGTGCATTGTTTTAAGATTTAAAAAGTAAAGAATATTTTATATTTTTATATACGTTTCTTTACAAAGCTATATTTGATTATAATTTTCTTTAAAAGTATATTCATACAATTGAAGAATATTTTATACCAGGTATGCACATTTCCCACACATTTTATTTCACCAAGTAAGTTTTTATTATTTTATTTTTAATTGTAGCCCTTATATCGTGGCTAGTGATTCAGAATGTAATTCTGATATTAAAAATACATTTAGAAAAGTCTACGGTTTTTACAGGCTTATCAAATAAATGATACGAATGGACCCTAGACCATCACTNAGCCACTCGTAGGGAGCTATTTGACTAAGTGCATTGTTTTAAGATTTAAAAAGTAAAGAATATTTTATATTTTTATGTATGTTTCTTTACAAAGCTATATTTAATTATAATTTTCTTTAAAAGTATATTCGTACAATTGAATATTTTGTACCAGGTATGTACCAGTACATCCACCACACATTTTATTTCACCAAGTAAGTTTTTATTATTTTATTTTTAATTGTAGCTCTTATATTGTGGCTAGCAATTTGGAATGTAATTGTGATATTAAAAATACATTTAGAAAAGTCTACGGCTTTTACTGGCTTATCGAATAAACAATACGAATGGACCCTAGACCATCACTGACGCGCAACTGACCGATTGCTCCTGGATGTTGGCTTCTTACAGAAACACAGCTTCCCTATCATCAAATGTCAAGGAACACCACTATTATAAGAAGGAAAATTAAAGCAGCAAAAGAAAATTGGATGAAAGAAAAATGCAAGGAAATTGAAAATTTGCAAAGAAACATGATGCGTATAATGTACATAAAAAGATTAAAGAGCTTACCAGAACAAATAGAAGAAATAAATTTACTAATATTTTAAATGAAAAGGGTGACTTTGTTTTGGAATTGGGGAAAAGCAAACTATGGAAAGAGTACGTTAAAAAATTATATTTTGACGAGAGAAATTTAAAACCTATAATAATTGATAAAGAAAAAGGACTAACAATATTGAAAATAGAAGTAAAGAATGCAATTAGAACAACTAAAGAAGGTAAAGCTCCCAGACCAGATGAAGTTCCCGCTGAAATTTTGAAATTACTGGATGAAGATAGTCTTGATATTTTAGTGGATTTTTACATTATTATTTACAAAAGTGGTGTAATTCCTCAAGATCAGATCTTTTAATGTCTACATTTATAACAATTAAGATAATGCAAAAAAATGTGGTGATTATAGAACTATAAGCCTAATGAGCCACGTTTTAAAAATTTTCTTAAGAATAATTCATACAAGAATATATTAAAAAAATGTGAAGAAGATTTATGCAACACACAGTTTGGGTTTAGAAAATCTTCTGGAACAAGAGAAGCTCTTTTTGATTATAGAGTTTTGGTAGAAAGAAGTTTAGAGGTTAATAAAGATTATATATATATATGCCTGTTTAATAGACTATGAGAAAGCATTTGATAGAATTCTGCATGATAAATTAATAGATATACTTAGGAAGAAAGGAAATGATAGAAATGAATTGAAAATTATAATAAATCTTTACTGGGAACAGAAAGCCAACATTTTAATTGATTCTGAGTTATCCGAAGAAATAGAAATAAAAAGAGGAGTAAGACAAGGATGTATTTTATCACCTTTACTTTTTAATATTTATTCAGATGAAATTTTTAAAGTTTCAGAAGATACAAAACACATTGGGATTGTAATAAATGGAATGAATGTAAATAATATACATTATGCTGATGATACAGTGGTTTTAGCAGAAAATATAAATGATTTGGCAATATTAATGGAAAAGATTAATTCAATAAGTAAATTCTACGGACTTCAGATGAATTATAAGAAAACAAAACTACTTATTCCATGCAAGAAAAATATAGATAACGTAACATTGCAGATACAAAACAGAACAATTCATAGAGTTTCATCAATTAAGTATTTGGAAACTAACATACAGGAAGATGGCAGATGCATTAAAGAAATTAAATCTAGAATAGAAAATGCAAGGGGTACTTTTATCAGAATGCAGAAATTTTTCAAATGCAAAGATTTTAATTTAAATCTTAAAGTGTTTTATGGTGTAGAAACATGGACCTTAGATAAAAATATTTTAACAGACTTGAAACATTCAAAATGTGGTTATATAGAAGAATTTTAAAAATATCTTGGACAGATAGAATAACAAATGTTGAAGTTTTGAAAAGAATGGGGAAAGAAAAAGAAGTTTTAAATACAGTTAAAAGAAGACAGGGTATTTTGGCCAATCATCCGAGGAACTAAATATTAAATTTTGAGAAATATTTTAGAGAGAAAAATCTGTGGAAAAAAAGCCCAGAAAGGAGAAGGAAAAGTTGGTTAGGCAATATACAGGGTGTGGTGTAAAGAGTGGATAATCCATTACCTGCGGATAGGGGACATCATGACTGTTCAAAAAATTAAAAATTGTGTTTAGTACAAGTGTCATAGTTTGAGTTATTGGACATTTTCTAGTTTTTTTGGAAAATGGACTCCCTTGTTCACATTTTTCACAAATCAAGGATTTTTCCCAGTCTGTTTTTGAATACTAGTCTTGGATACATGTTCTATCAAAAGTAAACTGCCATTTTAGTGTCATAGACTTGATTTTTTTAGAACAAATTTTCCTTGATCTTTCTCATTAGGAATATTCATTGAATTGAAAGCTACAAATGCCATTTATACTATTGGGTTGTTCGGAAAGTAATTTCGCTTTTTTTACCATTAGACGGATTAGTCATATTTTTCCTGCCATTTTCACTCTAAACCGTATTATCATTATATATTTTGACAGCTAGCATTTTAAGGCTTATTTGTAAAAAATTTTCTTTGATTTTGTGCAATTGTTTATTTTTTTGTGTCCCATCAAATATGGAAGATCGAAAGCAGCATTTTTGGCATATTTTGCTTTTATTACCAAAAAGGTAAGAATGATGTTCAAGAGAGAAAAAAATTGCATGACATGTATGGAGAAGATATATTGATAGAACAACAGTGCCAAAACTGGTTTATAAAATTTCGTTCTGACAATTTCAATATTGAAGATGCACCATGTTCTGGATGGCCAGTTGAAGCCAATGAAAACAAAATAAAGGTACTGATTGAAGCAAACTGCCGAATAACAACACGTGAAATCACTAAGAGATTAAATTTGTCAAATTGAACTGTTTATGATTACTTGAAACAAATTGGTTTTGTTTCAAAGCTTGATATATGGGTTCCACATGATCTTAAAGAGAGATGTTCTCTTTGGTGGGATATTAAGGAAATTTTTTTTGGCACTTTTACCAGACAATTTAACAATTGATTCAAAAGTGTACTGCCATCCAGTAAACAAATTGAGTAATATCATCAAACAGAAAAGGTGGCCAGAATTGATCAACAAAACAGGTGTAGTGTTTTACCACGATAATGTCAAATTTCACACAAGTTTGGTAACTAATCAGAAACTGTTATAACTTAGATGGGACATGCTATCACACCAACCATATTTGCCAGATTGAGCACACTCAGATTATTACTTGTTCTGGTCTATACAAACTTTTTTTAACTGTAAGACATTTACTTGAAATGACAATGTCAAAAATCACTTGGATCAGTTTTTTGTAAGCAACGATCAAAACTTTTATGAATGTGAAATCATGCTACTACCAGAAACGATGACAACAGGTATTTGACCAAAATGGTCGATATATAATTCAATAAAATATTTATTATAAAAATATTGTGTTTTTTTTTCCGTACGGAAAAAAACGAAATTACTTTCCAAACAACCCAATATTTTAAATCTCAGTACAATAGGCAAATTATTAGTTAGTTTGTCACAGAGGTTACAGTACTTTCTTTTACACAAAAAAAAACAAAAAAAAATTTTTAATTATTTTTTTATAATAAGAAAGCAGAACAACTCACACGTGAAGCACAATTGAGATTGTTATAATACTACTAATCCTACATTTAGAAATGAATACAGAACCAGAAGAAATTACACAGTAGATAAACAGATGAACACCAAGAAATATTATCCAATGTTTTGGAAATTATATTCTGTCTCTTGCAAATAAAACACATCCTGCAGCCAATGTATGCCTCTTAATCTTTGTTCACACATTGTACAAAAAGATTTTTCATTGGGAAATTTCAACCGGCTGGCAAAGGATAATCTGAGACTGTTTAACAACTTTTTAATAGTGATAGGTCACATCTCCCGGAAAATCATATTACTGGATAACAAGAGTTTGTTATATATCAATTGTCTATAATCATTACTCTGAAGGAAAATAATTTGATTCTAGCATTGTAGCAAACATAGTGATAGATTAACAGCCAGAGTGGCCTACTCAATTCCATTCTTATCACAGGTCGTGGCAAACAATTTAAATGAAAACTTGTTTGAAGAAAAACAATTGTATTTTTTCCACTTTGTCTACCAACAATCTTACCCATATAGAAATGCACATAAAATATTTGATTTAATTAAGTTTAACAATTCAGTTCTGCTAAAATTAGATTGTATTTTGATATTTTATAGCAAGTTATGAAATAAATATTTTTTCTTTTTTGTTTTAAATAACTGAAGAAATTCTCTAGCATTACTTATTAGATCTTCATTATTATCTCTTAGACTGGAAACATTATTATTCCTTCTTAATTCATTATAAACTGTGTCTATATAATAAAACTGCAAGGAAAAATTATTGATACATACTGACTTGAAAATAGTGAACTCAATTTTCTCTTCCGTGCAGGTCAGTCCTTCCTGCTCTTTATGCAGATTAGTTAACCAGTCAGATTTAGATGACATTTCTTCTAGCTTTGACAATTTGATTTCAAAGTGATCTTCAAAAAATGAAAGGATTCCCTGAGAAATCAGAGGATTTGTTCCTGCAATGAAAAATAATCTTGTAGACATGATGTCTTTAGGACTGGTTTACTAGGAAAATATCAACAGTTGCTGGTAGACAGTAAACTCCTTCTGTGAAGGGAGGAAAGTTGTGTATGGGACATTGGACCTGGATTTAATTCCACATCTCCGATTATTAACAGAATTAATACTTCTAATGGGATATGTAAAAGTAACATTTTAAGCATAACCACTGTCTCAATTGAATACACTTTAATCAATATAGACAAAAATATAGTTAACTCTGAGAAAACGTGCCAGCAGCAGTGCCCTCTTAACCATTAACTTTGTACATTCAATAGAATTCTTCTTAACCTGAAGATAATCTTTTAGTAAGACCAAAAGTGCTGTTTTGTTGCTCAAAAAATTGTGATTGTATTTGTTGTTATGATTTGATAAACTTTTACAATGCAATAGTAGTAGTAGTAGCATCATTCTTATCATTGCTAACATTTAGTCTAAAAATTTGAGCTTAAAAAAATAAGCTAATTTTTATTTTTAATTCCTTTTTTAACTGTTTCTTCATCACATATTGCAGGGCTCCTACTGTGTTTCAAAACTTAAAAATATGGGAAAAGTTGGACTTTCTGCAGGAAAATTAGGGTAACTAGGACAAATTTAAAAATAACTAAAATCATCACTTAAAGGAGATTTTTTCAATAAAATATCATGACAAAAGCAGTTTAGAGTATATCTATCTGATAAAATATCTCATTACCAAGTAGAGGAAGGATAGAATTAATGTAGTATATATAGTAGAACCCAAATTAACCATAATTCTGCATTATCCAAAGCAAACTGATAAACAAATGCACTACTTTTCTTAAAATTCATAACAGATTTGTCTTAAAGGCACTAAGTGCATAATAAATACCATTCCACAAGCTCCATATTCACCCAATATGGCACAGTGTGACTTTTTCCTGTTTCCTCAGCTAAAATTTCCATTTCATGGTCACTGTTTTCAGTTGATTAAGGCTATAAAACAAAATTCACTTTTAATCCAAAGGGTTTCATGAAAATGATTTTAATACATGTTTCAAGGATTAGAAAAATCATTGGCATAAGTGTATAGCAGTGGATCTCTACTTTGAAGGAGACAAACAAATTTTGATGAATAAATTCAATCTTGCATTTTATTGAACCATTCCCAATAATTTTTGATCATAGAGATATGCAAACAGAAACTTAGATTCTATGCCAAATAGTGTGCTTGAAGAATTTATTAAAGCAAATAGGAGAAAAATCCTATATTAAACTTGCATAAATAAGGGTCTATTTATATTAACACATCAAAATATTTAGTACACTTTAAATTTGTCTAGATTAGGGTTTCTCATTTCCCGGTCTTTTGCTTGTCCCGGGATCCCGGGATAAAAGTGAACTGTTTCCCGGGATCCCGGGAAATCCCGGGATAAAATTAATTATTTTTAAGGTATACAAAATATCTTGAAATCAAATGATATAATTATTTTCCATTTTTTAAAGTAATTTTAAAGTTCTGTAACCTCCAAAATCATATTAATAATGCTGTGTAAGGTCTATAGGCCTATAATAAAAATTACCTTTAAATAACGTAGAAATTTTCACAAATAGAAAAAAATTAATTAAAGTTTGCTGGAAACTGCATACAACAACAACAAAAAAAAATGTTTTGAATTGAGTTAAAAATTAAAAAAAATGAACTTCTAATTTAGAAGGTAATTTTCGTTTTTTAAATAAAATATAATACAAAATATTGCAAACTTTTATAAGATTTTAAAAAGCAAAGATGGTCAATACTCCGATAACTCACTCTAATTCTTATTTTAGTAATGAAAAGTCTTGCCACCGAGAATGCCCTTTCCGATTCAATTGATGTGATTGGAATAGTGTTTAATGCATTTAAGAGAAGACAGATATTATGTGTTTTTTCACCTGTAGCCTGGAAGATTTCGAGTTCGTTTTCGAGATTGTAGTACTTCTTTCGCTCTCTAGTATTCTTGATTTGTCTACCTTGGCTGCTTTAATAGCGGCATCAAGCTTAGAGCTCGATAATTCGGCAATTCATTTGGCTTTAATAATCAGGTTTATGAAGAAAAACTTCATACTTGCAGACTTTGTACTCGTTTGTATCCTTGCCCAATTTGCACAATCTGGCGTCAGGCATTTATTGAAGCTACTGGGCATGGTTAAAACTCAAGACAGCGTAAGCACAATTATTCCAGATATTACAGGTTCCGACAAGTAAAGAATTTTTATAGTCCTGCCACAAATAAGCTATATATTGATTATTGACCATTTGTGACATGCTATAACGAGCAAAAATTTAAAAAAACTAATAGGTAGGTTTAAAATTAATAAATACAAATGTATTCTGACAGTGAATGAGTTAATTATGCTTTCTATTTGCAAAATTCCTCAACCTTAACACAAAATAAGAAAAAAAGTGAATTTTTAAGAAATTTGCGGGATTTCCCGGGATAAGAAAAATTTCCCGGGATATTTCCCGGGTTAAAAAAACAACCGGGATCCTGGGATCCCGTTTGAGAAACCCTAGTCTAGATATCATTATTTTTTGGAGTTTCAGTAATTTTCTCAATGACACAAAACATTGTATACTAATTAGTGTTTCATTCATTTTGATGTTTCAAATAAATCAAAATATTGACACTTAACTAATTGTTTTGTTATGTTCATCTACTTTTTTTATAGTGTACAAATGGAGAATAAAATAGCAGAATTAAGAAAATGCATTATATATGCTTCATTAAAGGAAAAATCTAATCCTGTATTATCACAAAGACAAAGTAAGACTATTTTTTAAAAAGTAGGAAAAGTTGGATAAATACAAGGCCCAATATGGACACATCCATCTAAGAGTAAAGAAATAGTTTTTAAAGTCCACATCAGAATTGACAAATTCATTATTTTGAAAATAACACACACACAATGTAAAACAGTACTTCAAATTTTCAGGAATTCCAAATTAGTGTGGTTTACTGTATAACAAATAGAGTTTTCAGTTATTCAATTTAAGTTGGCAATACTCATAACCAGATTACTTGACATTTATGTTCTAAATGTGTAATTTTATAAAGTTATTTCAAATGGTTTTCAGTTTCTCAACATTAAGCTTAATTATTATAACAGATTTGAAAAATTACCATAAAATTACTTAAATATGATGGAACTTGGGTTTAATTAATGGACATTCTTTGGCAGCCCAAAATGTGGATTAATTTTTTAATGGCCATTGTCTTATGTTGCTTAGTAATTTTTTAAGTATTCAACATGCGGCATTTTGTAATGGAATGCACGACAGGAACAGACGTCAGAAATGACCATTTAACTGCCAAAATTAAAAGAGCTATAACTACCCTTTACTAACCTTTAACACACAGTCTATTTTATTAACATTAGATTATGTTAATAAAATAGATTGCATGTTAAAGGTTAGTAAAGGGTAGTTATTTTTTAATAAGTGCAGTTTGAGAAGAGTTAGAGTTATTTTTTTTTACTCAATAATTCATTAATGTAATTTGATACTAGAATTGTTAAATTAAGGTTGTCATTCATCCTCTTTTGTTGGACACATCTGGACAATTTTTACAATTTATATATATATAAGATACGTTTCCAATCTTGCTTTTGTTTTTAGCTTTAAATTTTATTTTTTCATTATAAGATAAAACTTGTAAAGATACAGGTACACCACCAAATTTCTGGCACTCTTAGTTCCAAAAACTTGCCAGATAAATCATTTTGTCACACCAAATGTGGTAAAATGTAATTATAATTCAACAACACACCTCTAACCCACTAATTATACGCTTCCCAAGTGTCTAAAGCTGCAGTTCCCAATTGTTTTGACTTGTGGAGCCCTTTTTAGAATCAATTTCTACGGCTTAGCCCCTTACGCCTACCCTATGTCTTGTAAGTTAATGGTATTTCGGAGTAGTGTTACAGGGAGAACCTAAATTAAGACATAAAATCATATGTACAAAATCATAAAAATGTAAAATCACATGTAAATGTTTACCAAGACATTTTTTCTTATTTTAAGTTCGATTGATAATTACAGGCAAATGTCTGGTTCTGCATTTAAAAGGTTTCTGTATTTTGTTTTGGTACCTGTATAGGCAGATAATCCTGCTTCACAGAAATATGTAGTTGAGAAAGGCACAATACAAAACTCAACTTGGTAAACTGTTTCTTATTCATTCATTTCATTCAAGTTTTATTTATTATATTTCCCTAGAGAGACCACGGAGCCCCAGAAAGTGCGGGCCAAGCCCAGATCCGGAACCGCCGATCTAAAACATACCACAGATTGCTAGAAAGTCAAATTAAATAAATACTAAATGTTAATTACATTCGACGACACCACCAACATTCTCCTCTCTCTTAGAAGCCATTGGCAAGCGGCAAATCCGACAGAGGGCGCTGTTTTTGAGCCAAGACGGCTGCCGAAACAGGTAAGGAACCGACCACGTGTTTGTTCAGTGCCTGAGCCGATTTAGTTTCTATCGGTGACGACTACTGCGAGGACCAATGAAGAACAAATCATTAAATTTATGTCAAATTCTAGACTATATCAACGACAGGAAACGTTGTCTTGTAGAACGTGAAGCCGTTTTGGATATATGTGACGTACACACACACACACACAAAACATAATGTGTGCTACAAACTTTTGACTGGCCTATGTTGTATAAGTGCTGAATGACTCAGCAGGGCAGCCTTCAGATTGGCACTAATTTTAACTATTATGATAAATAAAACTTTGTTTTTATATTGGAACATGGTGTATACTGCTTAAAATATTTAAATACTTCTCACCTGTTAACGTGTAATAAACATGCTATCACATGTTTACAAAAACCAGACAGCTCCGCTTTGCACGTGCATTCTCCCTGTAATTGAGATGTATTAAAATGCCAATATCTGAGATTGCAACATTAAAGCAACAACATGAACTTCGGTGTTGTTGTTAGAGTTTAATCCACAAAATACGATGTGTCCAGCATCCAAAACGGCTTCACCTTCTACAAGACAACGTTTCCTGTCGCCGATATAGTCTAGAATTTGACATAAATTTAATGATTTGTTCTTCATTTGGTCCTCGCAGTAGTCGTCACCGATAGAAACTGAATCGGCTCAGGCACTGAACAAACACGTGGTCGGCTCCTTACCTGTTTCGGCAGCCATCTTGGCTCAAAAACAGCGCCCTCTGTCGGATTTGGCACTTGCCAATAGCTACGATTAAATTTAAGCAACAAACTAACAAGTAAGAATATCACAATACCGCAGTATCACCACCAACAAGTATAGTGTAAATAACGTAAATAATTACATCCCCCACCAAGCCATCCGCGACCACGGAAATTTGAAACTTCCTCTCTTAATTGTCCTCACCAAAGGAGACACCAGACCACCACCGGTCAGAAATTTGGTAGCGTACCCATATAATATTTGCCCGATATCACTTTTTATCATAATTTTTCCTAAGAGTCACGTATTTTTATTCGATTTGATTCCGACAACCCTAATTGAGTACCTTTTCATACTAAATTCTATAAATAGAAATTAACACAATAATTAATTTAGAGAGACTCAAACGGTCGGCTCGGGGAGTCAAGACGACGGACACCGTCCGCCACTCCTCACACCCAGAGGAAACCAAAGCAACTTTCACGGGAGCCAGCAGAGGACGAAGTCCGCCAAGGAGAAAAAAGACGAGGACTTCCGAGGCTCGACGAGCGACGGAACTTTCCGAATCGGGAAGAACCGGACAATTTAACCGAGCCGACCGTCGGGAATCCGGTAGAAAGATTCGAAAGAACCGGACGTGGCGGGACGACAAAACTTTGCCGCTCGCTCCGGGCACGTCCGGGTTACGCTAGGAGAAAATTCCGGAACGGCAAACGAAGGACACGACGAGACGTCAAAAATAAGGTAAAAGACACCAAAGTTCACTAGAGGCAGAGGTGACAGCGACACAAAGTTAAAAGTTAATTTTAAGGCACATTTACTCGTTTGAATTAATTTCGCGCAAACGCTATTTCGTACTCTACGACGCACTCGGTCATTTCGCTCGTCACGCATTATATTAATAAGAACGTAAATTTCGGATAAAATATCGAAGACGGGCAAAAAATAACAACATTTTTGACATTTGACATCGAAATCGATAAAGAAACATTAAATATTGGGGCAAACAGAACATTTTTGAAATTATTTTTAGTTATATTTACGAAACTTTCCAGAAGAGGGAGACGAATTCGACCGATGACGTTTCTAATCTAATGACGAGTCCGAAATTTCGTTCGGATAGAAAATACGCCGTCGACTCCGAACGACGTAGAAAACGAATACAAACATTCGGATCAACGACGTATCCCAACGAAATCCCTCCTCGATTTTACCTACGACGGCACGACGCAGTATTTATAGTAACCAATTCCTTCCGTAATTTCCTCACCTTTAATAATTAACAGGCGCGATGGGGAATTCCGTCTCGATTTAAATACAGAAAAGCCAGCCCGAAATTTAAACCTAAAAAAAAAAAAAAGACGAAGATTCGGAACGCTTCCAAAACTTTGCTTTCCTTCGTCGAATTTTCAATAACAATCTCGGGCGCCGTCTAACGTTCTTTATCGGTTTTTTCCTTAAAATTAAATACAATTTTTTCTCTCGACCCAGAATTTGAGATTCCTGGTGGCAAGTTAAAGGTCGTCGAAATCGTACGAAAACCAATATTAAAATTCATTCTCTGCCAACTTTTTTTTTTTTTTTTTTTGGTTTTCGACTTCAGAAGAGAACCCAGAGGGACCCGCGGCGGGTGATGACGTCGAACGGGGAGGGACGGAACCCGACGTATTCGCCCGCGGAAAATTTTCCCGACGATTATCCCTTTGCTGAATGTATTTGTCGATATACGTTTTGTGGCGGTAATTATTTACTTACGGCCGATAATTTTTCGCTGGCGGTGTGTCCCGTCCCTCGTCGCCTGTTCGAAACGGCGATGGTTCGGAAAAAAATCTCGGTGCCAATTTAGCTATTCTCTAACTGCATGTAGCCGTTTTGATGTTGCATCGATTTACTACGTCGTTATCCAAAGAAAAACATCCCAAATGTAAAAAAAATGCGCCAAGTAAAGAACTCTGACAATTTGAATGATAGTCAATTTTATTTTTCTGAGAGCTTTCCTTTAGATAAAGATAAACTTTGTGTTTTGAAGCGGTATTCATTATAATTTTATACAAATTAACGGGCAATTTTTGTTTATTTAGGGTTTTGGTTTCTAATTTTAATTTTTAATTATTAAAATTTGTAAATAGAAAATGTAACGTCAACTGAGGATGAGTTTTACCAGCTGAAATGCTGAAATATAGTGGCATAGCCAATGACGCCTGAATAGGGGCCAGCTTTCCCTCCAAGTCCTCCCGGAAGGCATTCTGTCTCCCTTTCTCGCGGGGGTCGTCTCTTATAAGACCGGCTTTGGTTACTTAGTGACCTCTCTTCTGTCTTCCTCGGATTGGTCGTCTTCTATAAGACCGACTCTTCCTTCCTGTTTCTTCCGGAGTGAAAAGCTGAGAGCTATACCACTCCTCTGTGACGATGATGATGATGATGATATAGTGGCATACCAGTGTAAGGTTGCCGATGTGAGGATCGCGAATACCGTGGACAAAGAAACACAACTTTTACGATATGAGAGTCTTTAATTCGCGTACAAAATACAGGAATATAGATCGGATGCCAGCTACAAGCTCTATCCCTTAACTTATTACTTAATTTTAGTAACAAAAATTCAACGAATCAATTATATAACGCGACAATTCTTCCTTCGTTGAATGACTATTATACTTATAGCATATACAATTATATCTTAAGACTAATTATTACTTACTAAAAACGAAAAATAGATCTAAGACAAGAGAGAAGTTGAAATGTAAAGATGAGAAGAAAGAAAAAGTCGGGTACCCAATAAATTCGGCGTTTTTCACGGTGAATTTTCATAAGTTGAGTGAGCCTCTCGATCCACGGCCAATGAAAATTACTTTCCTAAGGAATTTCGATTTTGCTTTACACTCTAGTACGAACGAAAACACCCTTCTCAGTTTTCGTTATCCTCGTTTCCTTTTCTTCTCGAAACGTCCGTCTCGTCTCCACTCAGTTCCAAAAAAAAACTTCGAGAGCCTTTCTCACGTGTCCTTTCCTCTCTCGTACTATACCCAAGAATGACCTCATGGACCCCGTTATGCCCTGAGGGTCGCACACCTTCCCCTTGTTACTAAAGGGGTCACCTGCTGTTACGCCGTTAAACAAAAGTAGGGAGAAACTTCCAGAAAGAAAGACAATAGAAATGAAGACAAAGGGAAATATATATGATATAAAAAATAAACTATAACTATACAATTATGGCACGTAGACACACCGACAGGGAGCAAAAATGTCAAGAGGGTCGAGCGGTTGGGAAGGGTCTTATGTGGGCGATCGGCACTGAGACAGACTGTATGGTTACAAGAAACCGTTTATTTGACACGAACAAACAAGATTTCCGCGATCTTGGAAGTTCTACGTCGGCAGCGGTCTCGGGTCTTTCTCTCCTTTCCAAGATAGTCCCATTTTGAAGGAGTGCGAATGACCAATTCCATCGACGTCTCGACGACTCCGGGACGATGCGTTCGACTTCCGTTGATGGAAAGATGTCGATCCGAGGTCGGGAAAAGAAGACGAAGATGGGCATGAGACACACACACAACAATAGATCGGCCACTTGGAACTTTCTGGAGAAGCCGTCGCGTCCTTGAATTCTCAGGTTTTATCCATTTTCCTTCGATTCCACTTTCCGATTGGTCTCTCCTCGTCACCTGGTGACAATTCGAAACCTTTCGGGGGCGCGAGAGAGATCAAAATCGAAGTTTAATTTGATTTCCATCCGCAGATAGTCGATCTTCGTTTTTCCCTTGTTCTATTGTTTAAAAGTTCTTAAAAGTTCGCATCGTTTTCATAAAAAAAAAACTACAGTAGAGCGTCGTTTATCCGAAAGCTGGTTATCCGAAACGTCTGTTATCCGAAAGCATTCCAGTCGGCAAATTTAAATTTTCGCTAGTGCTGTGGCGCTGCAATCTTCGGCTATTTCTTGGGTTACTCAAATATTTTACGTTTTTGATACTAAATTAACAGCCCCCACCAGTGGGCGAGTGGTCTCCGTAGCCGCTCATAGCGGTGACCAGACCCTAAACACTGGGAAGTTCGGTCGTGGGTTCGCGCCGCGATCGGACAGGCTGGCTGCAAGGAGTTTTCCGGGTTTTCTCCTTGCCAATAACGACTGAATAGGAGGCCAGTTCCCCTTAAAAGTCCTCCCGGAAGGCATTATTTCCCGCGCGTGCGTATAAGCCGTTAGATACGGCCGGCTCTTCGGTCGCATAGCGATCAATAACTCGTCTCTCGGAGAAAAAGCGTATCAGGCTATAGTCTCCATATGAACCAAGGGAGTAGAATAAGAATAAG